TTAGAAAGTCTGGAGATTTTTAGAATATTTAGAGCTAAAAAAATCCGTAAAATGCAATACGAAGTTACGAACTATATAAATAATGCTTTTTATTGGCGTATTGAAGGAAGTTGATAGCGTTGATGCACTTATAAAGCTATATAGGTCCAGAGGCAAGAGCTAAGCAAGGGAGTGAAGGGACTTCATCTACTTCATGCCTTCATGGCTCATGCACAGCAGTTTCACCATTCAATTATGTGTCCCAGAATTCTGCTGTAGTTAGTGTCCAAAACAAAAACATGGCGGAAGGAAGTTGTGTCAATCCTAGATCTGCTGAAAGGGTCTTCTCTTTGCTTGCTACCATGTTTGGGGATCAGCAGCACGAAACATTGGAAGAGTACATAGCGGCAGCATTAATACTGCATGTTAGTAATCGCTAGTTATCTAGACCTATTCACCATAGGTATCATATTGGCGGCCCGTTTTTACTTATAAGGATTTTGAACTTTGATATTTTGTGTTAACATTTTGGGATTTTAGGGTAAAATTTTAAGATTTTTAGAATTTTTTTGAAAGTTTTAGAACTTTTTTGGAGATTATTAGGATAGATTTTTAAGCGATTATTTGGGGATTACTGTGGCTAAACCTAGGCATATTAAAACCAACCAGGAAAAAAATTAAAGGACTTTTAGAAAGTCTAACTAAGCCAGTGCAGTCATGGGTGAACCTAAGTTTTTTTAAACACAGAGAAAATCCAAAGCGTGGATATTCGTTAACATGATCATGGAAATCAGTGTTTGATTACTATCGAGGGGAGATTTATTACCAAATTAAACACATTTATTTCACTTTATTTGATATATTTATGTTACTGACTGACTTCAGCTTCAAAAACTCAATCGCCAAGTTTAATTTTTCAGGCAAGCGTCTAAGACTATTTATGTTCCAGTTTCATGCACGTGAAAGGAGTCATTAGAGCCTATTTTCATTCGAAACTTCGCTAGTAACATGTCCTTAATTTATTTATTTCATTCTTGACTTTGAGCTGCACGGATCCGACCCTGGTCATAAAATTGAAATATATCAGGTCCTAATTCTAATGAATCATAAGTATCAGTAACGAAACATTAAAACTTCGCTGCTTTGCTTTTGACTGGTAGAGATGTGTTGCGCAAAGCAGAAATTAAATCCGCAAACGACACGTGGTTAATAAAACATGGATCAGTTTCTTCAGCTTGAAATACTGTTTCTTTCAGTTACAGTGGGAAACATTTTCTCGATGAATACAACATCTATATAGCGACATTCGTAGAAGTTGTGTACATTTAGTTTCATTTATCCCCTCTAACGTCCCCTGCGATAGTATTTGTTTAGCAGTCCTTGTATGGTATAGAATGGCAGATTGGATTGCAATTGCACGTGCCTGATCAAACGAAATCCGGATCATTCTCAGGTGACGATTGTTTAACGAAGAGCAGGGTCGTTGATTGTAATGTACCAGGAATTTGTAGTTTGTAATGTACCAGGAAAATGTAGTTCGAAACTCAGAGAACTCAACAATATTTTACTTCAAGTTTGTAAGTACATGGCAAGAAGGACCTACTGCGCATGTACGAAGCGTATAAGGATTCACGGGATTTGACAAACGCCCCCTCTTGAAGCAAAGGAAAGAAAAACTGAACCTGATAAAAATACAAAGTAATGTACCGATAGGGACAAGTCCCAAAGTCATGAACACTTAAGTTTACTAAAGACTAGTAGAACCTCTGAGGCGGTTTATGCTCTCTGAGAGGGTATCTCCGTTCTGGTTGCTCAGGCACTGATGCTTGAAGCTCTGAATCTCGTACAGATGAGTCCTGCGGTGAAGAAAAAGCATCACCCATGCTATCCAAGGCTGGAGTGTCAAGTACAGGCATAGCCTCTTTAGGCTATGAAAGGGTTGGTGTTGTAAGAGGCCTTTCCCCCATTACTGGGGTCAACCCTTCAGTTTGCTCAGGTAGCTGGGGCGCACGAACTAACTCTGACCCTAGTGTGGAAGGTATGAATCGTGGAAGTAATTGTTCTTGACGTCGCTTCCAGATAATGTCTCCGACCTGAACCTCAAAATTCCAGGGACTGACTGTTCCAACAATGGTTCCTGGAATCCATTTGGCTCCTTTGCCAAAATTACGCACAAAAACTGCTTGGTTTGGTGTAAACTGGGGTTTGTTATCAAGGTTGTCTTGAAAAACTTTAACTTCCTGTCTTGAACTTTTGGCTCTCAGTGCACTGAATCTAATTCTAGGCTGTCTGTTCATAAGTAATTCTGAGGGTGATTTCCCTAACGTGGTGGGTGTAGCCCTGTAGGTCAACAAAAACCTGTCTAATTTGTTTGCACAGACTCGCCTGTATCTCAAATCTTGTCCAGTTTATCCTTAAATTCACCCGCATAGCGTTCTGCTAACCCATTTGTAGCAGGATGTCCTGGAGCAGTGAGAGTATGAAGGATGTCGTTCTCTCTTAGAAATTTCTGAAATTCATCACTCGTAAACTGAGTCCCATTATCTGTAACCAGATGTTCAGGTAAACCAAAGTAATTAAAAATGTGTCTCAAAACAGTAATAGTGTTGGTGCTGGTGGCATGAGTCATGGGTACTATCTCCAAAAATCGACCAAAAACATCTTGCCAAGATAAGGCCCAGCAAATTCTACATGTAATCGTTTCCATGGTCCGCCAGGCCAGGACCATGAAGCAGTTGGGGCGGATGCCGGCGATTTAGCAGATTCGTGACAAGCAGGACATAACTTAACTATCTCCTCAATTTGCTTATCAAGTCCAGGCCACCAAAAGTACTTTCGAGCTAATTGTTTCATTTTAACCATACCCAGGTGTTCTGCATGCAAATCGGCCAATAAGAGGGCCTGTAATGACTCTAGTACAACAACTCGCGAGTTCCATACGAGGATACCATCTTCATGAGAGAGTTCAAGCCTTTTGCTGTAGTAAGGTTGGAACACTGGTTCCAGATTATTGGGCCAACCCTGCTGAGTAAACTGTAACACCTTTCCAAGAACTGGGTCTCTCATGGTTTCCATAGCAACTACGGACGGATTTAAAAACTGTTCTTCTTCGATAAACATCACATTTACAGTGACCTATTCTGCAGCAGACTGCTTGTATTTAATAGGCTTCCTAGACAAAAAATCCGGAAGCACATTGTCTTTGCCTCTTATGAATTCAATTGTATAGTCATAAGCAGCTAAAAGAAGTGCCCATCTTTCGATCCTTGCTGCTGCAAATAGGGGTACGGGCTTGTGTTCGCCAAGTAAAGTAATCAAAGGTTTATGGTCTGTTAGAAGTTTGAAGTGTCTACCTAACAGGTACTGGCGATATTTGGTCACCCCAAAAACAATTGCTAATGACTCACGTTCAATTTGGGAGTAATTTTGTTCTGCATTGTTCAGTATCCTCGATGCATAGGCAACAGGTTGTAATGTACCATCAGGTCCAGGTTGCAGTAATGCAGCTCCCACACCCACTGAAGAAGCGTCACACTGTAGAACTAATTCAGCCATAGGATTATAGTGACGTAAAACCGAATCAGAGCACAGAGCAGCCTTGATGTTGTCAAAAGCGTCCTGTTCCAGTTTTGACCAACGCCATGGTACCTCCTTACGAAGTAATCCGTACAAAGGTGAAACCAACTTTGCAAAATCCGGCACAAATTTACGTAGAAAATTGGCTGATCCAAGGAATGACTATAATTCAGAAACATTTGTGGGAGGTGCTGCATCCTTTATTGCTTACACTTTCTCAGCAGTCGGTGAAATCCACGCAGCAGAAATGGTACTACCAAGATACTCTACTTTATCCAGCATGAAAAAGAATTCATCAGGGTTAAGCTTAAGACCGCAGTCCTGTAATCGTGTTAGTACTCGATGAAGGTTTTCCAGATGGACTTCATCTGTTTCTCCGGAAATAAGGATGTCATCAATTTGGACACAGCAGCCTGGAAGGTCCTTAAGGACATTTTCTATAGTGCGTTGGAAGATTGACACAGCACTACTCACTCCAAAAGTCAGGCGCTTGTATTAGTATAAGCCCAAATGAGTGTTAATTGTGGTGTATTGTCTGCTTTCTGGCGTAAGCTCTAGTTGATGGTATGCTTGAGAAAGGTCAATCTTAGTGAATTTTTCCCCCCAATAATGTACTCAGTAGTTCCTCCAGAGTTGGTATGGGGTATTCTAGGACTGAAAATTTGTTGATGGTGACAGAGTAGTCCCCACAAATTCTCAGGTCCCCATTTGCTTTAACAATAGGAACTGTAGGTGATGCCCACTCGGAATGCTCTACTTTCTCAATGATATCCTCTGCCACCAATTTCTCCAAGGCCTTTTCGTACTTGGACCGAATAGCAAATGGTACTCGTGCTTTGGTAAACACAGGGCTTTCATCACTTACTCGCAATGACACTTGGATTCCTTTACGTTTTCCCACTGAACTAGTGTCAAACAAATCAGAGTACTGCTGAACTATATCCTCAGCTGTAGTTGAAATCGTACTAAAAATGTTCTGCCAAGGTAATGTAAACTTGGACATCATGTCCCGCCCCAGTAGTGATGGTCCCTGAACTAAACGAATTAACAGAGTACCCACCTGGTCTCCAACTTTGACATCCATTTCCTTCTCACCTAGACACTGGATAATGTCCCCAGTATAGCTTTTGAAAAGCAACGTTGGGGGTTTGAGTGTAGTTACTTGTCCTCCGGTTTTGGTGAAATCTGCAGAACTCAAAAATATCACAGAACTACCCGTATCAACCTCCATAGGGACTTCCAGGTCTTCAATGGTAACGGTAAGTTTGTATAAGGGCGGTGTAAATGACGAATTTTCAGAAGATTTCACACTTTTCATATAAACTGTAAAAGAAGGGACTGAATTCTCGTCCTCCTCCTTGGTACATGTTCCTGTTATTGGAGCAGCTATTACTTGGTGAGTAGTGTTGTTACCACCCAATTCTTTCTTTTTTTTGAAGCATGCCTTAGCGAAATGCCCAGGCTTTCCCACAGTAATTACATGTAGATTCGACATGACTGCACTTGTCAGCCAAATGTTGTGGAGAGCCACACCGAAAACACTGCTTTCCTCCCATTTTTGACTTAGGAACTGTTTGCCTTTGGCTTTCTTGAGCAGGAAAAGATTTCTTGTGAACAGTATTTACAGGCAGAATTCCAGCACTGGAAGTCTCGGAGTTGCCCTAGAGTAACTTAGATTCCTTCTCAGCCAGTTCATCGGCCTGAACAACCTTGAGAGCTTGATCGAATGTCCTATCTTCTGAAAGTAGTTTCTTTTTAGTAGTCTGACTTCTCACTCCCCCAACAAATTGATCTCTGAGGGCTCTTGTAAGGTAAGGACCAAAATTGCAGTTCACAGCTAAGAGTTTTAGCTTGTTTACATACTCCACTACGCTTTCAGTTTCACTTTGTACAATGTGATGGAAGCGGTAGGTCTCGGCAACTTCAAGTACCTTAGGTTTGTAGTAGTCTTTCAGAATTTGTGTAAGCTGGTCGTAAGTTTTATCAGCGGGGAAATCAGGAAGACAGAGATCTTTAAACGTACTGTAAGCGGTTTTACCGATCAAGGAGATTGTAACGGCGACCTTTTTCTTGTCTGCCTCTCGTTTAGCTGCTTCGCTGGCGTCAGCTGCAACTTGACCGATGTTATGTGCGATGAAGTAGGTATTCAAGCGTTCACTGTAATCCGTAAAGTCAACTCCATCGAACGGTTCCAAAGTGCCAAATTGCTGTGTAGTCATCGCTGGCACTTTAATTCTTCATCCTCGTCGCCAGTTTGTAATGTACCAGGAATTTGTAGTTTGTAATGTACCAGGAAAATGCAGTTCGAAACACAGAGAACTCAACAATATTTTACTTCAAGTTTTGTAAGCACATGGCAAGAAGGACCTACTGCGCATGTATGAAGCGCATAAGGATTCATGGGATATGACATTGATGTAGTTTTGTAGGACTAAGATCAAATTTTCTTGAACGAAGAAATGTACACTCGTCAGCATTGGATACTGGTTTCAAATCAGATATCTCGAACCAAAGCAACCGATATCAAACTATTTTTTCTTATTAAGCTTATAATGAAGGAATAAGTTTCGGCAAATACTGTATTGAAGCTTATTGAGAAATCATTCTTGGTAGTTAGAGAGCGTAAAGACAAGGAGCGGCAGTCATGTCCAGGATTGAACGGAGAAGAAACATTTACAAAATTGACGATTTTTCTTTTAACTTTCTATTTTTTTTTCACGAACAAAGCGGAATACTGCAACCTCCAACAAATGTATAATTTTTATCCGCGGTGATTTTCAAAGGGGAATGAATCAGTTAACTTACGGTTAATTTAGCCAGTTTTACTGAAACCAAACTGCGTCTAACTTCTTTCTATTTTACTCTGACTTTGCAGTATCATGGTAAGCAAAATTGTAATGACTGAGTCTTTCCTTCTGCAATCATTTTCTACTCTCTCATCGCTTAAACAGGTTCTTTCGTTACACCAAAGTGTGATTTCAAAACATTTTATCAGATAGTAAAGTACCTTATTTCTAGTAAATGGTACAGAAAAAAAGGAGACGAGACTCATTTTCTCTTCTCAGCAGAAGTAACAGTTGAGAGTGTTTTCACTGTTACGCAATGTACAAATTGATTTGAATAAATATACAACGACATATTCCAGTCTCAAATCAGGTCTATGCGGCGCACCGTTTGTCAGTTATTTTCCGAAAGTCTCATACAATTTAGTAGAGCTTTGTAAGGACGCGCCATGCTTGTGTACCAACATGCTATGGGACGTACACCAATATGGCAACCGGAAATCAACAAAGACATATGGATTTCACTTTTTCGATAAAAATGATTTATTTCTCTTGTGAGCTATTTACTTGCGCATAAATGTATTTTTACTGCTTGAAATGCGGAAATTCAAAACATTTTGTTTTCAAAATGGGGCTGGAAACTTATACAGAGATTTATTTCTCGGTCACCTTCAACCTGGTAGGGAAAAACACTGTTTTTATTTTAGAGTTTGATGACGTCATGGTGAAACAACCGCAAAAAACTGGGTACGAGTTTTTCATGCTTCATGATATTGACAATATTGATAATTGATATTTCGAGCGCGGTTCTATAATCAAAAGTGGCGGCAAATCTTTGAAAATATTAGAAGAGTGAAATTTCTTGGGATAGAAATTTCTTACGATTGCGTTGTCATTGAAGGACATCGAAATAGGACTTGACTTTTACTTTTCGCTTTCTCTCCTCCCCCTTTTTTCACATGCCCCAGTAAAACCCTTTATTTTTTAAAACACTAGACGTTAATAGCAGTTGCTTCTGACGTTCAGTTCATTCAAACTCATAATTTAACGGCAGACTCTGACGTTCAGCTCATTTAACTCTTCATTTTAACTCTAGCCTAAACGTAGGCAGTTTCGTCTTACATTGGGTTTTTCTTGCAAAAGGCGCCTGATATTTTTGAAGTTTGCCCCCGCAACAAAATCAGAAAACTCGGGAAATACGTTTTACGATCAGTTTCATTGCTGCACTTTTACACTGTATAAAAATCATTTAATCTTAACTTTTGCTTTCTGATTAAAAAAAAAAAAGAACTTATGGGAATAATGCAATTCTTCGTTTTCACGTGACGTCACCAAAATTCAAACTAAGGCATTGTCGATTATTCCGAGTGTTACTTCAATGAGGCATTACAGCAGCTAAACACCTTTGTTTACAGCTATTGAAAGCATGTCGGAAAAAATGTGCACGCGACAATCCTGAAAGGTAACATAGGATATGATCAACGCCCTGTTCTTGGCAGTGTAGGACGTCGAACCTACTTTTGTTACTTCCTTCGCAAACACGTCCATGGCCTCTCGTGCCATTCTTTCAAATTTCTTTGAAGAACATTGAACTCAAAACCACCCACAATGCCTTTCGGGATTGTCGCGTGCACTTTTTCCGACAAACTTTCTTGAAATAGCTGTATACAAATATTCGGTTCGAAAGGGCTCTTCGTTTTGCGATATAGGAACGCTTGAATTTCCAAAACTTTTGTGTGACGCGGCACGTAGATGGCGGCCTGGACAGCTCTCATGTAGGCTGAAAATGTTACCGATTTTTTTTGAGATTTTGCTATCTTAACATTTCTTGTTTCAGGATAAATATTACTTTAATCTTTATCAGTTCCTCAAGCGATGAATTAACGCTTTTATAAAAAAACTCAAAGACAGATGAGTCTTTTTGTTTACGGCGGCCATATTTGTGCCCCTCGAAGGGGCACCAACATGGCGTCTCCATACAAAGCTTTGTTAATTTGGGTAAGACATTTTTCCTAGTATCTCGCACATGAAATATCGCACAGTCCTGATTTTTAGCGAGGTGTTTTGTCTATTGATTTTCTTTCATTTCCTAGACTCTTGGCTTTCTGTATTGAATGATTTTGATTTTAAGTCAAGTGAGAAATATGGTATAGAAAAATTCCCTTTTACCTTTTACATTTTTTAAAACCCTTAGAGAAAGCAGCGATTGCGTCTCTTCAGTCACACAAAGAGAGCATAGACGTCAGCGCACACTTTTCCTTCGTTGTCTCCTTCGCTTAAATTCACCAAGTTTTCACCGTACCACACGCGTAGTTCTTGTTTCCGATGGACCCGTCTGAGAGACGTAAAGAATGGCAGAACAAGCTCAGGTGAGAGGGAATTATATCCAGGAACCCTGTACCACTTTAAGTTGCTGATCTTCTGGAACTGAATTGGAGGGAGTAGAATGTGGTTGTCTGAGTCTGTGATGACAGCGTTGACTAGAGTGTTTAACCCCATCGACGGATTGTCGCCACAGCCCCAGTAGGACCAGAAAGATGGGTCCTGAACGTGACAGGACACGTATCCGTACAGATGAACAAGCTTTATGGCAGGTAATCTTCCCCGTGGGACGTAAAATCTTTCGAACCGGTTGCCTTTAGCTTCAAAACATACTGGCCACTTGTTTACTTTGCGCCAGCCAACTGAAAGATGATTAAACAGAAACAACAAGACATTAAATCTGCAATTCAATTCGACTGTCCCCTTGGAAATTGTTTCTTAACAGTTATATTTGGTTTTCCAATCTAGACATCAGGTCTCCTCGATAAAATACTCACAACAGTTACTAACGTATTTTAAAAACGCTTAGATCTGTATCAGATATTCTGGTTGTTAATTTCTAATGTTTGTTATCTGTGGCACAAAAAGGAATTCAAATCAGTTATTAATTATTCCACGAAATATTCAAACTTTTTTGGAAGAATTTGATGGTTAACTGTATCGAAAGCTTTCTTTAAGTCAATAAAAATTCCACGGGTAAATAAACGTTTATCCATGTTAGACTGAACTGCAGCAACGATATCTACAATGGCCTGTTCAGTAGAAAACCCCCCTCTAAAACCATACTGTTCTTCGTTTTTGAATTATGTTAATTCAACGAGTCTTGATATTGCTTTGAAAGCATCTTCTAGTGAAAGAAGAAGAACTGTTCTATTGTTGATAGAAAATGTCCAAATTTCTCCTTGCAGCTTTATTTGCGAACGCGAGGAGAGTTGATGTTAGCAAATTTCGGGTTGAAAATACGGCCATTTTGAGACTCCGACCACGAAAACTGATATTCTTACTCTTTTGTCGAAAATAAGGCTTTTTGCGAGAACAACTTACATCAGATTACTTATCTACCCAAAAGCTATTTATGAACAAAAAATGAAGGAAATCGATTTTTCAACTCTTGCCACTCGATGCGCGATATTTCCTGACGGTCGCTCTTAACTGTTTGGCACTAATTGTTACATCCTGTTTCACGTGCGCAGGGGTAAAAATTACCTTTCAGACTCTTGTCAATATATTGTGTAGTGTAGCAGTCTTAACAAAACCCATGATACAAGTAAACAATCAAAACGACGGCGCTGTAGCCTAAATCAAACATTCCTTAAAATTCAATGTTGTTTTAAACAGAACAGAAAAAAAAAAGGGATTCACACACACAAAAGTAAGACTTACCACAAGTTGTTCGAGATTTCTAAAAAATGTTCCCAGAAATTTCTCAAAAAGTTGCTCAAGAGAGAATGAGGTCTGACGCAAAAATATGCAAAGTGCGCGCCAAAAATAAGGTTCGGCTAAGCATTTTTGTGCAATTTTGCTGTTAACCAACTTTTTTCAGCTAGCCGCAATTAAAACCAAAAGAAATGTACGAGTTAAAGGACTACTTTTTATTAGCTGGATTTATTTGCATTTTGCGCTCTATTGAAATTGCCGCTTCCACTGGAGTATACTCTGCTCTGAATTCTGATTGGCTTTGAGCTTTCCTTTCGTCTTTCTATGAATGGATAAGTGTCATTTCTTTTATTTATTTCAACGTCTGTGTTTTCTTTCAATTTCAGTGGACGTTCACGTGACTGCTGATCACACAATCAAGGCAACCGTCAATACAGTCCCAGGAAAACCGCTTTTTTGTTCTAATGATTACATCTCATCTCGCCATGCAGCCAGTTGTTTGTGTTGCTTCAGTAGCTGTGCTAATTGTTTGCGAGGTTAACACCGAGGCGAGGTCCTTTAGCCTTTATCCAACGCAGGAAACAGAGGCGTCACAACCGTCATGTATGTCTCCTACCCTTTCCGAACCTTGCTGTAGGTTATTTTACGTCCCCTTCAAATTAATATAAACCTTAAGATCCGACAACGATTACGGCAGGGAGAACGTCGAAAAAGCAGTAGGTTTGTTTTGTACATTTCTTTGCCATCACTAGCTATTCCTGCACGACTACAACGTAAAAATGCCAAATCTCACGTTTTATGGAGAAGCTAGATAAACAAGCCACGACGAAATTTTCCTGCTCTTTCTGAACTTCAATATGGCTCTTAGGGATTCAACTCTGCGCTGCCATTTTTAGGACACTTAGAAAATGTTTGAGCTCTTTTTGATTTATTGAGTGTTTCTATTAAAAAGAAAGTAAATCGCAACCCAGGGTCTAACCCGGACCTCGAACCAGGACCTTTCGTATCCCAATCTCTCTCCCCTGGCCCTACACTACCACAACGACCCGCCAAAATTGCAAAGCA